TCCACATAGAGAATGGTTTGGAGCAGGGGTCACCAACCTTTTGGACCTCAGGGACCACTAAATTCATAATTTTAAATCCTGTGGACCACTAATATGAATTTTTTAAAAAAGATAAGTAGTATTTAGTACAATATAAAAAAATGCAAATAATTTTTCTAGGGACCGCCAAAATTTTCTCGTGGACCACCAGTGGTCCATGGGCCACTGGTTGGTGACCACTGGTTTGGAAAATGTCTATAGTTAAAGGACTCAGTATGTCTGTCTCAGAAATTTTATCTTCACCTCTTTTCTGCCATTTCAGTATTCAGATGATTTAAGATATTTTAGGGTAGATATAAGAAAACAATTTCCCTGAACCTGGCCTATGATTTTTCATCTCAAATGAGGCAAATAGCAGGAGCTTTTAACCAAGGTAACAAAGTGATCTCTAGTCTAAAAACGACTCCAGACTATCTCATCAAATAGATCTTTCCCCTTGAAGACTTTAACCATGAATTAGATAGCAAACTGCCTAGCCCACAAGAGTTTTGTCATTTCATATATGCAATCAAAAGACTGAAGGAAAAAGTACAGGAAAAAGCTCATAGCTTACAAGTGATGCTTGTAAGCTTATAAGTGACTTTGAAACCTCTGATCCATAACAAACACTAATTGGCATGAGTTGTGTTTAAGTGGAAACAGAATGCATGTATATTCAAGCTTTTCCCAACTAGAATTGGGTGCCGGAGTAACTTTTCTATTATAGGCTGTTTTCATGTGTTTCAGGTTGGGGTGAGTTTGATTCCTAAACTCCTTGATTTCAGCTCAACTTTGACTAAGTCAATGCTTTACTGTTCAACTGCTAATTTCTATGCTTCATGAAATTGGGCATGTCTATAGTTTTCATCAGTATTAAAAGTTCAAAGACATTTTAACAAGATCCATTGGAGAAGCAGACATCATTGTTAGGATAAGGAGGATTTGAGGTTTATGAACAGGTCTGGACAATATATGAATGGTTGGATTGTACTGGCATATTCCTGTGCTGCACTGTACCCAGGCTTCTCATAAATTTAGGAAGCTCCCATTCCCACTTGACCACAGCTGTTCTTCTGTGTGCAGCATCCTTAGTAATTATCCTCCTCTTTGATTTGTTTAAGCTGGGCATTACACTTAATAGCTGAGGAGGGATACAAGGTTACATATTCTCATGAACTGGAAAGTGTCTAAAAACATAAAACAGAATGTAACTAAATGGCTCATAAAATTGGCTGTCTCAGAATTAGTGTGTGGACTATTCTGTTTTTAATTTGTTTATAAACAGTCTGGATTTAAAGATAAGCAGTGATATGGCCTGATTTGTTGATGATACAAAAGTCTGAACAGTACATAAAGTTAAACAGATTACAGAGATCTAAAAAAAAAACACATTATCCACTCTGGTGAATTAGCATCAAAATGGCCAATGCCTTTCAATGCAAGCAAGTACAAATGTGCTTTACATTAATGGGACCTGAACTTGCACTGATTGATCAGGAAAGGGATCATAATAGAGAAGATGAATATGTCAAGCCAGTCTGCAGCTGTTGTAAAAAAAAAATGTGCATTCAATGCTTAGTATCATAAGAAAGAAGATTGAAAATAAAATAACCAATGCAATAATATCTTTATCCAAAAGGTAAGACATCACTTCAGTGGTGGGTTGCTCCCGGTTCGGACCAGTTCTATAGAACCAGTAGTAAAACCGGTGGGAGGCTCCACCCACTGATCCTGACATCACCAGAAGCTATCTGTGCATGGGCAGAAGCTTCCGCACATGCACAGAAGCAAGGCGCACGCGCTTGCTTCGCTCACTCACTCATTCAATCCCGTTGTGAACTGATAGTAAAGGTAAGTAGAACCCACCCCTGCATCACTTGGAATATTATATACCATTCTAGTCATCTTATTGAGAAAGGATATTGTAAAACTGGAAAATTTACACATACATCTCTCCCAAAAGTGCAAAGAAATTGATTAGGAACATTGAACAGGTCCATATGAGCAATATCTACAGTGCTTAAGGCTTTGTAGTTTGGACAGAGGAAGGTCAGGGTATGATACAAAGGATCATGATATAAAAATATAGCATTATGCATCTTATAGGAAATGTTGAATGGGACTTATTTCCCTTTCTCACAATGCTACTACTTGGAATCAATCATTAAAATTAAATGTGGAAAGATTCAAAATTGAATCAGCTAATTTATTGACACAACATATCAACACATTGGAATTTGTTGGCATCTGATATGACAGCCACCAGGTCAAAGAGTTTCAAAGGTAAGCTGGACATATTCATGGAAGAGGCTCTTTACTGTCTATGCATGTTTTCTGCCTTCAGAATTGTAAGCATCCTGCTTCTAGGCAGCAGTAGTATAAGAGGACAGTCATTATCTTTCCAACAGTTGTGCAATTCTGGAATGTATCTTGATGGATCTGTGGCATGAAATGCTCTAGGAATGCTCTTCTTGTGCTGTCAGTCATTTGTGTGTGGCTCTATATATGTTGCCTGCATATTAGATATTACTTTCTATGCATGGTTCATGGAGAAAATGAAACAAAGATTAGCTGCCAAAATGAAGAATGTTAACTCTTTCTTCAAAAATCCATGATATAGACATTGGATTTCATTGCACTGAAATATGTAAAATATTTTTTTCATAATGTACCACAGCTCATTACCAATCCTGATTATTTCTCATGTTTGTAAGTCCTAATTCTATTATTTCACTTCCCAGTTATTTTATTAGGACTTGCTTCTATAAAATTATTGACAATTCTGTCTTATCTGGTTGTTTTTTCCTCCTGTGATGATTGTCAGCTGAGAGGAAAAAGCAGCCGTTCCTTGAGATGGGAATGAATAATAAGTAATGATCAGCCAACTGATGCCGCCTTTCTGATTTCTTCTGGATTGAAAGATGTTTTAGCATTTTTTTTCATTCTTCATCTGTTATCCTCATCTTTGTGCACCCTTAATATTTTTGAGAGATACAATGGTATAGATACATTAAAAAACATGGATGGCAAGATGATAAAACCATGAGTCTTTTGTAAATGGTGGGACTATGTTTAACTTAAAATACATTTTAAAAATACTATTACCCATGTATAAAAATCCACATTTATAATGAATATTTGGCTGAATTTATCTGCCAACATTTTATACCTATATAAAGCTTGGTTATTAATTATCAGTCATTTCATCAAAAGCAGTAGATATTCTTAATGGCCCATTCAAATAGCAAAACAACATGAATTTTGACTATATAAAATATAATATAAAAACACAATGGAAGGAAACTAAAAAAACATTTCAGTAAACTACTATTTTTAAATATGCTGTGGTAAAATCAGCACATAATGATTATAAATATTTATGTTCAGCCAACTGAACATTAACAAGATTTTTAACAGAAAATGTATTCAGGTCAATCCAATGCACCAATAACTGCATTTTTGTCATATCCCCAGGGAGTATAAGTATTTACAATATATTGTAGAAATTTTCAGTTTTAATAATGTTACAAGTTTGGCTCTCAAGATACAAAGTATTTGGTCTGTGATCTGTTCATAAAATGGTGCATGAAAAGCTAAAGTGTTCTTTACTCACATATCAAATTTGGGTGGATAACAATTTTATCATATAAAATCAAAAAGCATTATTACAATAACTTCTATGATTTTGTTCATAAAAAGGAATTGCAAGATGAAAGTAAGGGTATGCTGCAACTATAACATCTCACCCCAAATTAGTGGAAAGAAAAGCTGGTGAATAGGCTGGCTCTTAGCAATTCCTCTCTGGACAATGAGAGGACTTGAGATGCCCACCAGGGTTCCAAACAGTTGATCCTGACATGGAGATTGCAAGACAGCAGTTTAAAACTCTGGGAGATGATGGAATAGCCACCTTGCTCAAACCATAGTCAATGCCTTTAAAAGAACACAGGTTTGCACATTTCCTTTTCTAATGATTTTCAGAAATTGCTTTTTAACTATCATTAGGAACTTTTGGATTGAAAAGTCTGAAAATACCAGATGCTCCAAACCCGATCAATATTTTAAGTTTACATGTATGACAAAGGAATGTTCTGTTTTTGCAATCCTTGAAACCTCCATGCTTATATGCATTTTCCTCTCTTTGTACCCATCATTTCTCTTCTGTTGTCATGGCAATCAATTTCAGGACATTGAGGAGAACAGTAGCAATTGACATTTTAGCCTTTGATTTATAAGCAGAAATCTTAAATTCTAATTGGAAATGCTTCATTCCTTATTTTAGTGTTGCTAGCATGAGGCAACTATTATATTCCATTGGCCATAGAAATCTTACAAACCCCCTTTATGCTATCCTTTATGATAACCTGATGATTCTAATGATATTATTCCTTTTCAGGTAGGCCTTAAAGAGAAAACTACAATCCAGAAATACTAATGGAATGTTATTAAGAAGGTGGAAAAGAATCCAATGAAAATAAAGAAATAAAATTAGTGCTTGACAGAAACCTGGAAAAGGTTATATCGCATCTGAGAGACATCCTAGTAGGCAGAAATCAAAGAATTCAGAAATTCCTTAGTGTGATTTATAACTGTTGTTAGTGTCTCTTTTTAAGTTCTTGATGGAAGACAAAGAGCAGCAAGGTCAAGGAAACCACGATTATGTGAAAAAAGTGGGAAATGATGAAATAGGGAATAATTGTGCTGTTTTTACGGCTGCAAGGCATCTTTCTTGAAGAACATGGGCCAGGTGTGTTTCATGTGGCTCAACTGTACACAAGTGGACAATTTTTCTTCTGAAAATAATAAATTGACATTCTGTCAAGCAGCCCATTATATATCTCTTGAGTAATGTTTTAAAAAGTAAAGGACGCCAGCTGGAGATATTGGGGTAATGATGAGGTAGTTCAGGCTTTTCCATTTTCTTATTGTTTGCATATGAGAAAGGTCAAGAATTGTACACATAGCATGCATTAATATTCTCTGACATTAGATTGGTAAATGTTTACTTGTAGAAAGAAGGATTTCCTGCATTCCATATACTGGCTGATAAACTGTTTCTTAGGTATATTTATAAATGGGATCACATTCTTTCTTCCTCTCAGGAGTGTTCCTATTTGGGATGTCAATCAGTCTCTTAGCACCATTCAGGAGGAGCCCAAGAAGGCATTGTAGCTTCCATCACATTTTCTGGGTTTTCATTCCAGTTAACAGAATGTAAACACTCCTCAATGGACAAGGTAACTTCTGCCCCTTTATCATTTTACAAAAATCTGTAATTAATGTGCAGTCCTTTGTTGATAACATACTTTTACTTTCTTGGTTATCCAATTCATTAGCATGCATCACATACGTTTGTTATTAGAGGCAGTGTTCCTTCCATAATGCTGGAAGGTATTTATAAATAAATGCTCAGTATAATTAAATATACAATAAACTGATTCATTATTATATTACATTATCTGGGCAATCATGAATCAGTCTACTACAAAATATTTGAACTAATTCAGAGTTCCAAATAGCAATTATTGCTTTCTGTCTGAGAAATTACTTTTCCTTATGCCTTATGCAACTATTTCAATGTGTCATTGTTAATCCTTTAGTTTCAAGATAAATTCATTAGCAAGATGCACCTCAGGCTGCCTGGTTTTAAAACCTTTCTAAGGAATATGAATACACACATGAACATGCACATATTCCTATTTTCTGTATTAGAAATCTGTTCTGTGTACCTATATATTTTAAAGTTTTTCATCAGTTTAAGAATCATAAAGCTGTTCTGACTGAGGCTTTTTTAGAAAGCAAACAACACAAACTTAGTCCCAGCAAGCCTCTTTAATTCATATGGCTGTAAATTACTTTCATTTACAGTCTGCAAGGCTTGATAAACAGTCTTTCAGAGGAGCGTTTACAAACACTCACCTTATCTCCCTTAGAATGCTGCCAGAGAACTAATTGCCAAATGCAGGGCAAAGCCAAACTTAGCACAGAGTCAAACAGAGCTTTTCCAGAGCTTTTACCGACCAGATGAACTAATTGCTTCCTGCAAAACCTCACGTCCTGTTCGCTTCTCCTTTATATCTTATGGGAAGGGCTAATCATCTCCAAGCCTTACTCCCAAGTGACCCTGTTTTCTTAATTGTTCCTGTCTCCTGGCAGTTCTGCATATGTGCATACTGGCAACAGGCTCACGTTATTCTTCTGCCTCACTGATATCAGACTCCGGAGGCAGCAAATAGCTACCATATGGCCTTGGCCTCCTCTCTGCCTCCGACTCAGAGCCATCATCCAAGCTTTCCCCAGACTCCAGGACTGGCCCACGTCCCTCCTCAACCTCCTCACTGTCCAAATCTGCTGTCATCTCTGCTGGCCATTGGCAGGCCACAACAAAAGATAGCTCTGTTAGGTGGCCACAAAAAGTGTCAGATGACTTACAAAGATTTGGGGTAGTATGAATTTGTGACAGGAACACCATAGTGAACAAAGGTTGATTTAACACAGTTGTAAAATGAGAACTAATTGCAACTATTATCAAGTGTTGGAACTCTCCAGGTGTTTGGACTTCAACTCTCAGGATTTCCTAGCCAGCTTTGCCATTGCTGAGAATTCTGGGAGTTGAAATCAATAGAATTAGGAAATCTGAGTTAGACTTGTAACAGGACAAATGATAGGAATAATACCAAGATTCAAAACAATCTAATCATTTCCATGATCTCTTAATGGATATTATAAATATGTTTTAATGTATTAATGTCATGTGTGAAACTTGGAGACTGAGAGCACTTGGCCTTCAAATAGCAAGCCATGTATGGGTAACATGTATGGGTGGGAGCAGGATAAACATTAAATGAAATTTGAGTATCAAATGTTTTTATTGAACCATGTCTAACAACATGAACCATGCACATAATACATTTATCCAATATACAGGTAGTCCTCGACTTAATGACCATAATTGAACCCAATATTTCTGTTGTTAAGTGAAATATTTGTTAAGTGAGTTTTGCCTCAGGAAACTTTCTATAGTTTCAGGAATAGAGCTTTTTTCTGTTGTTATGGCAGGAGATTCCTTTTTCAAATCAAAGCCATGTGTGGCATTTGTTGATTGATTTTTATTACAAACATTTATATCCCGCCTAACCTCTATAGAGCTCTAGAGAACTTAGAACATCAATAAAACCATGAAATATAAGCCAAGAAATGGTTGAGGAACCACAATTAAATATTTTAACAAGCAGTTTGCTATACACTAAAAGCATTCCTAAAAAGGAAGTCCTTTGTTACTCCTGAAAAGCTATTAATGAGGAAATGAGAGCCACTTGGAGTCCTTGGAGCTCAGTGAGAAATAAAGAGCAATAAATAAATAATAGAACGACATAGGCTTACTCAGATGGAATTCTATGGCCTTGGAGCAGCCACTGAAGAAGCTTCTCTTTCCCAATCAGATGGAGCTGTGGAGTCTCACAGTATGGCCTGATTTCAGATATGGTCAGCTTCTTATTATATAAAGCAATAAAAATATTATTGTGAGCTGCCTATGACATTATATGACATAGGCAGCCGTATAAGTCCTGTAAATAAACAAATAAAATATCCTGATTCTAAAGAATTTGTGACCTTAATGATCAAAACAGTGCTGGATTGATATCAGTGGTGGGTTGCCCCTGGTTCGGACCAGTTCTATAGTAAAACTGGCAGGAGGCTCCGCCCATGACCCTGACATCATCAGAAGCAATCGGTGCAGGGTAAAGGTAAAGTAAAGGTAAAGGTAAGTAGAACCCACCCCTGATTGATACAACTGTTTTAGAAATGGAGCAAGGATTGTACAGGCCTAATTTTCAACTAGATTCTCAACTGAAAAAGTAGTCCAACACATATTGTGTTGTCTCAAGCATTATTTGGAAAACCCCTATTTCTGCCTTTATGTCATGCACCATAGCAAAAGTAGCTTATTAAAAGGAGGACTGCACATGGGAGCTTCAAAAGGAGATATATTCAGATACACATTTTAAATCTTTTTTTTATCCTGAAGGAATCCTTAAAATGATTTTCAGGTCTCAGGAAACCCTGCATAAAAATTGTAATAATGCCCCTCCCCACCAAAATGTTCCATAATATTATTCACTATTAACTTACCCAATCAATGTTTTATAATGTTTACAATAGTGAAGCAGCAGGCTAGCAGTTGAGTTACAGGACTGAAAAATGTCGCAATACTGTAACCACTAGCATTGTGCAGTACATGAAGCATATGAAGTTAAAATAAAGGTTTTTTTTTTATCATGATCTCTTACTGAATCAATTGAAAAAGACTGCTCCATATGTCCTTACATAGATATCCCTGTTGTCTGTTTTCAGCTTAACTACTCCGAGCACGTAAAAAAGAGATGTTTACTAGAGCTTACTATAATTTGTTTGAATCTGAATGAAACTGTTTACATAATTAGAAACCCTGAAAAATCAGAGTTCATCATAGTTTCACAAAAGATGTAAACTGGGAGCAGAATTTGTATGTGTATTTTCATGGTAACTTTTCTTTTCATGCATACTAGCTAAAGATCTGCATGCAGCTCACTTGTAGATTTAGCACTATACATCATGCTGCAATATAAATTCATCTCATTTCACCTCACTCATCCTGTCATCTCATTTATGCTGGAACTTCTGGCATAAACACGCCGAGCATATTTTACCACAGAATGTTTCATATGCATTGGAAGATGTAAATATCTTAAATAAGACGCACCGAAATAGATTATGTTTATTAATCAAACATTAATCAATTAATGTTTAGATATAATAAGAATCTAAAAATGTTCAAGTTCTACACATGTAGAACATGTACATGTACCATGTAGTCAAAAAAGTTGAGAGAGAAACATCTTAGCAATTTTCCATTAGGGAAAGTATCAATTCTCAAATATCGGGATCACGTGCAACTGTGTATAAAAAGCATCAAGAAGTAGAAAGACCAAACGACAGAACATCAAATTGAAACAGTTGTCAGCAAAGAGAAATTATGTAATATTTTCTCTGCTTCCAGTGGGATTCCCTCCCTCCCTCCCTCCCTCCCCCCCTCTCTCCCTCTCTCCCTCCCTCCCTCTCCCCCCCAGTCTCTCTCAGATACTGATGCTGACTATCAGAAAACTCTCAAACATTCTCATACCAACCATAGAGCAATGTGATGTATCTTGACAGCAAGATCAGCATGAGGTGAAAAGGGGTAAAAGACCTGTGGATTAATTTAACCAAGCATATAGAAATCATTCAGAGCATATTTTAGTCAATGATGGCTTTTGAAAGCTTACATCTCTGACCCAATGATATCTTTAGAGTATTGGACAATGACAGAATTTTAAGGATTGCAAGGTCTTTTGCAAACTAGTCAAAGTCTACTTTGCATACTCATTTATTCACATTTGTATTGTTTTAGACACTATTAATTTGATGGAATCAGAAATGAATGCAGGCTCATCATCAGATTATTTTACATATATTTCAGAGTCAGCTGTCTGAAATCTTGCAATTTATCAAAACTTTTTCTGTGGATTTTGTTCATATGATATACATTTTGGAAATGGTCAACATTTCATGGAATGAAGGATTTTTGTTTCAATGACAATATGGCGGGGAGATCTCTGTTGAATGAGGTAAATTTAATACTATGAATAAGCAACTTTTTGGTTGGTTTAATTTGCATGTGGAAAAGAATACCAGACTATGGGTAAAATACCTATAGCACTTGCCAGTAAAGATTTTAAAATCACCTGACAAGTAGAGAAATTTTGTTTAGAGTGTGCTAATATGTAATTGTTATATCATAAAGAGGATCCTCAAAATTTAGTGAGATAAAGATGATTGAGTGTATTACTTAAAATTGTATGGAATTTAAATATTGGCACTGATTTATAATTGTCACAAAATTATTGATTAATGAATGAACAAGAATATATCTTAAGCATTTTAATTTTGCTGCAGTTTATAAACTAGTATTTTAGTATTAAATAGCTGAGCGCAGAGACTCAGTAAAGCAGTCTACTCAGCAGTTTAGCTGTACAATTGTTTGGTATTTTAATATTTTATTCACGAAGTACTTTTATAACTTAATGCTTTTGTTTTTATTTTTTAAATAGATACAGTATTTTTTATTTTATTTATAGAGTATTTTATTTTGCCACATTTTAAATACTTAGAAGTGTTTTGCGTATCCTTATCTTTGCTGTGTAAATTTTGTCATAGAGATAATTCTAGCTCAGTGACTGTAATAAAGGTGTGTGTTTGTTCAACTAGTCATTTGCCTATTAGTCTGATCCAGGGAGATATTTTATCAAACCCCGCATAACTTTCCAGCCTAGCCTGTGATATTCCTAAGCATATACTTCACCTGAAGGATGTACTTTGCTTGAAATATTGCTATTCTAGTGCTATTCAAAGTAGAAACTGACACTTTTCATTGAAAAATTGCACTGCTATTACTAAATAACATATAGAATTGTTATCTACCTTTTCTGACAGGATACATTCCCAGACAGTTTTGCTAAGGATTAAAGCCTCTGTTTACATAAAAGAGAAATCTACAACACCTGAATGAATATTTCTCATATTTCTACCCTTCAGTTTATTCCATTCTGTTTCCAATAAGTTTAGGATTTTTAAAAAACGTTTAAAAATGATTTCTTCTGATATATATAGGTAGTCCTCGACTTATGACCATAATTGGGACCAGTAATTCCATTGCTAAGCAAGGCAGTTATTAATAGAAATATCAATAGCACAGGTTTATATACTGCCCCATAATGCTGTACAGCACTCTCTGGGGAGTTTACAATGTCATCATATTGCCACGAACAATCTGGGTTCTCATTTTACTGACCTCGGAAGGATGGAAGGCTGAGTCAACCTTGAACTCTGCCAGGATTGAACTACAGGCTGTGGGCAGAGTTAGCCTGCAATACTGCATTTTAACCACTGTTCAAATGGAGCTTCTGGTGGGCTGTAAATTGCACCCAATTTTATGATATATTTTTTTTGCTGCAGTTGTTAGGAGAATCATGTGGTTGTTAAGAAAATCTACCATTGACTTTGCTTTTCAGAAGCTAGCTTCATGTGACCCTGGGGTGCTGCAACTTTCACAAATGCATGCTGGTTGCCAAGCGCCTGAATTCCGATTACATGATCTTGGGGATGCTGCAATGGATGGTTGTAAGTGTGAAGGCTGGTGGTAAGTCATTTTTTTCAGAGCTGTTGTAACTTTGGTTGCTAAGTGAACAGTTATAAGTTGAGGATTATCTGTATCTATTTTGGAAACATACACACAGAGACACAAAGATGCATAGACACACAAACCCACACATCTAGCATTTTGCTACTTTTGCATGCTGTCTTCCCTCTCCCCTACACTAAGGAACCCACATCCATGTTTCTTTAACATACACTGTGACAACATCTTGTTTTCAAAGGACTGTGTTACAAAGATACGATAGGCATGAATGCCACACTGGCTATGCAATTATCCTCTAGTTCTAATTGTAGGACTCATCAGGTGCAAAAGTGCTAGAACAGGTCCAGTAGGGGTGGGTGGGTGTCTGTGTGTCTGTGCATATCACAGAAAGCTATGCACTGGCATCCATTGTGGAAGTGAAATCAAACATTTATTAATATCACCAAAGAGGCAATATTTTGTGACAATAATTGCCATTGAGCTAACTGCTCCCACTTACTGGCTTCCTGGATACAAATGTTCCCAAGAAACTTGAATACTTTTACTTTAATACTTTAAAAGATCCCAGAGAAATCTAAAAGCAAACAGGAAAAAAGGACACTTACTGCACAGAGTTTAAGAGTTGTTTTAAACCTTTACAAATGGGCATTTATGACAAAATGAAATGAGTCCATTTTTTAAAATTAGTCCAAAGACTTGCGTTCAATAACAACAGTACGTACCACAACACATGGCATCAAAAGGGATTTAAGGAACAGACATCAAAAAGACATTCATGAAACACTAGGTAAGGGTTTTACAACCTTGACAACTTTTAGATAACTAGAATTATCTTAAATTCAACTGGAACGGAATTCAACTGGAATTCAACTCTCAGAATTTTCCAACCTGTATGGGATCGAAGATTGCACATCTCAAAGTTGCCAAGGTTGAAAAACACACTGTACTAGATAATCAAATTGCTTATTGCCTCAGTATTATATGCCAACTCCCAGTTCATGACCAACTGGGCCTACGGCCCCACATCTAGCTGCTTTTATTTTTGTGTTAGAAAATGTGTCTTTCTCTGAGCATTTAAAATGCTGGGCTAAGACTCAAATTAGGCATGTGATGGAAGACTTTTATGCTCTAGTGGTGATGAAACTTGGACGGACGAAGAATGCAGTCAGACGAAACCTCAGAAGTAAGCATATTTCTTCTTCAGTCCATTTGAAGTTTCCTTTTCCTTTTGGAATCTCCTCACTTAATGACTTATTGTACTTTCTAAGGTCATTGAATCATTGTGCCAAAATAACAGTAATGAGGGCAGGCTTTATGAAGCTTCAAGAGAGGTGAATATGCTACATGCTTTAAGTTACCAGGGGCATCAGTTGTTCTCTATGGCATTCTTTCTTTTTTCTTTTTCTTTAGTTACCTCTCAAATGCTGGCTTTGCTACAGTTGTGAAAGCAAAACAGTTGTGAGAGCCAAAAGATAATGTTAGTGCAGGCTTCATCGCAAACTCAGTACCAATTAAGATTTTTGTTCAAGCGCTGATCACTTTACCTTACTAGCACTCGGCTGATTTTGTCATTCTAATAGAGCTAAGAAATCTGGGGCGTGAAAAAAAAGGTTATTTTTCTGTTCTTTGCTACTATCTAAGATGATCTGCATTTCTGCAGCTTTGGAGAAGAAAAAAAAGATCTTTTTAAATGCCCCTTTAATCAATTTGGTGACAGCTTCTTGAACTAATATCACAGAGGTGCTCTTCAGCCAGTTCGGACTGGTATAGGTGAACCGGTTGTTGAATTTTTGCACAGTTCAGTGAACCAGATAATCACACCAGTGACTGGCCCAGAGGTGACTTCTAAAATTTTTTACTACCAGTTCTGTGGGTGTGGCTTACTTTGTGGGCGTTGATGGTCATGTGACAAACAATTCTTTAGGATTTTGCAGAGGTACTGGTCTACCAGGCTTTTAATTGTTTTTTATTTAGGATTTTGCAGAGCCATAACAATCTACCCATTTGTTTTTGGAGTGTTCCAATCTACCCATTTGTTTTTGTAGAGCACTGGTCTACCACCACACTGCCTTTTACCGCTGATCAGCTGTAGGGCGGCTCTTTGAAGTGCCGCGGCAAGAGTTTAAACAGTTTTTTGCTGCTCTGCCACCACCGAGAGCATTGGAAACTGCTTTCAGGCAGCTGGGTTTCATTTGCCAATCTATCACCACCAAGCGGTTTACAAGGAGCGGATCGGTTCTAGCTGATCAGTTAGGAGGCTTCTTGGCTTCTCAATTTAAAGCTAAGGTGTCTTGCTTTATTTTTCTCGTCTTTGTCAAGTGAGCCCTGATTTTTTCCTTCTAGCCGATCAGTTGGGACTCGGGAGGCAGCGAATAGATTGGGGGCAGGGCCAGTCAGAGGTCGTATTTACCGGTTCTCCGAACTACTCAAAATTTCCACTACCAGTTCGCAAGAACCTGGGAGAACCAGTAGCAACCCACCACTGGACTGGTCCCCCCACACCCCCTCTCCTCCCAGTCACTCCTTGCCTCACCCCCCTTGGCCATGGCATAGCAGCTGCTGCTATCTGGGTCCCTCACTTGCTAACTCGCTTGCCTCAATTGTGTGGCCCCGTGGCCCAGCCCACTTGCCTGCCTTCGCCCCAGCCTCCCACACAGCTCAGCTCCCTGCTGAGTCTTCCTTCACCATTCTCTGCTGCCTCCCACATGGCCCACTTACCAACTTGGTTGATCCCCTAAGGACATGCTCCAATTTCTTAATATCTTTCTTAAAATGTCCTGCCCAGAATTGGATGCAACTGTAGCTTTGTGCTAAAAGGGTGGTTTAAGTGCCTAGGTTGTTTTCTTTCACACTTCTTGTGATTTCACACTGCCTGGAGTTGCGGTAGAGTTGGGCAGCCCCAAAATTTAAATAATAAATAATAAAATATCCTGTTTAATAGGATACAGTACCTTTTTAAATCTAAAAAGGTTTCTCAGCTAATCTTTGCCCCCAAACTGGGAGGAGCAGCTGCCTGCCAGAGAGCTGTTCAGGGAGCAGGAGCCCGCAGCCTCAGCAGGCTGGTGGTGGAAAGGCCCCGGTGCCTTAGTGACAGTCTATCTAGTCATTTACAATGTGGTCATGACAGCCAGGTGAGCGAGCACTGGTGCACTCTTGGTGGGTAGGCTCGGCTTCGGGGCATAGAAGGAGTGTATGTGTTGGCCTGCTTCTTCTCGGGGAAACCCAGTGGCCCTCTGCCTTCCCAGGCTTTTCTCCCTTCCCTCTCCTGAGTCTAATGGCCTTTGCTTCTTCGAACATGTCTTTCTTTGCCTTTACCTGGGCAAAGGTTGGAGATGCATATAAACAGGCACCTCACCTCTTTGGGATCCTTACCGAGGACCCCAGCTTGGTGATTTAATGAGAAATATTTTTATTTCTAAGTTGGAAGTCATTGTATAATATGTGAGCGTTTGCTTCTCCAAAGAGCATTCTTTGATGTATCATAATGTATGCTTTTAATGTGGTAATAATGTTCAGGTGTGTACACTTAGTGCAGTGATGTCGAGTTGGCCACACCCACCCAGTCACATGACATCCCCATCCAGCCATGCCCACCCAGCCAGGCATTAGGGCAAGAGCTAGTTGTTAAATTATTTGAATCCCACACTGCAATAGCAGTTCCCACATGATAAGTTCCAAGTGATTTGGATCCATGATTCTCTTTATAATCATGAACCTTATTAGTTAATATTAATGGATTTTGAAGGAGCAGCAGAAGAGAATCTGGTGACAAATCAATCTAGAATTATTATTTGGGCATAAATGAGCAGACTCAAATTATCCTACTTTGGACAAATTATGCAAAGTCCTAATTTTCTAGATAAGGCTCTTAGGCTGGGAAATGTAGGAAACAGAAGACAAGGACTGCCATCAGCTCACACTCAGCAATACAATAACAGTAGTACAATAACAGCAATACAATAACACACACACACACACACACCACAAAATCTCACTCCCAAAATGACATTTAAAAATTACACGAACTCTTTTGTGTAGGTTGCATTGTGATTTCTGCATACAAAGTATAGTAAATAGTAAATTATAGTAAATTAAGTAAAGTAAATTAAGACTGGGCCAGTCTTGCCATCCAAGTACTTGCCATCCAAGTAATCATTAGAACTAATGAAAACATTTGACTCTAAGTAAACGTGTGTGTTTGTGTGTGAGTACACACACACACACACCCATGTGCAAAAATATAATAGTTAAGATATATAAATTGGATCAAGGTAATCCGACATTAAATTACAACTATCTATCCTATAAGTAACGGGGAACTATAGTTTAAAGAAAAACAGAATCAACTTGTTGAAGAATGAACAATGGTGGGAGAACAAGGAGAGAAAGGCACAGGAATTCAAAGCTCACTTCTATTTTAAGAAATAATTAACACACAGCCCCCTTCTTGCCACCAATAGCTTTGCCCTACCCCTATGAAAATTTGAGTTTTGTTACCATATCCTTTCAGTGGTGCCAAGGTACTGATTAGAATGCCTGGAGTATCAATTTCTGCTATTGATGCTCCTTTAGCATCTTTTAAGAAAGGTTAGAGTCTCTCGTGTCTCCTTACTGCATATTTGTATGCGCACGTTTCCTTAGATAAGGTCCTTTAACATGCCTAAACCAGTTACATGACAAATTGCTGACTTTCACTACTGAGTTTGCATTGACATAAAAATATTCTTCTGGAATTTCAAACCTTTTGAAGCATGATTTAACACAGGAAGTACTGGTAGTGAAAGCAACTGCTAAGTCATTCTTACTACTAGAAGCAAAGGCGTCTTACAGAACCCATTGAACCCAAGTTATTTATTACTGGTTTTTGACACTTTCTGATTTATGTTGACAGATGTTCATCTCGGTGACCCCAATCAGAAAGTAGGGCACATAACTTCTGATCTTGTTTACTGCTATAGTCAGAAAACTTTATAAAATTATAGGCACTCTCTAAATCTCTTCCTGTGTATTCACTAACACAAGGACTAAACTGCAAATATATATAAGGACCTTTGAAAATACTGTTGATAATACTTTGCTAATATATAGTGTGTGACTGTTTTGAGTAATGGTTCCCTGATGGTATAATGGTGTTTGTCTAGTCAAGGTAAATGACTGCTTACATTTGCACACTTGCTATTCCCATTCAGTTGATATGGAAACAAGTTGTAGCTAATGAATTGAGAATATGTAAACTGGGTAAAATGCTAAATACTCTTTCTTAGGAAAATGTTTCTATGAAACTGGTTGGATGATAAATCTAGAAATGATATTTCTTTCTTTCAGCATGGAGAAAGGGAAAAATAATGTAATAAGCAGCTTCATTAATTGGCATATAAAGTGTAGATTGAGAACCCAGTTGGTGTAGTGGTTAAAGCACCAGCCTGTAAACTGGGAGTCTGTGAATTCTAGTCCCACCATAGGCACAAAGGCCTGAGCCCACTGCTATCTCTTAGCCTAGGAAGCAGGCAATGGCAAGCTACTTCTGTTAAACTTTGCAAAGCAAACTGCACCAGACATGGTATTCAGCAGGTTCTGACCAGTTCTGGGGAACCAGTAGCAGAAATTTTGAGTAGTTTGGAGAACCGGTACATACCACCTCTGACTAGCCCTGCTCCCATCTATTCTCTGCCTCCAGAGTCCCAGCTGATCGGGAGGAAATGGGGATTTTGCAGTAACCTTCCTCTGGAGTGGGGAGGGAATGGAGATTTTACAGTATCCTTCCCCTGCCATGCCCACCAAGCCATGCCATGCCCACCAAGCTACGCCCATAGAACCGGTAGTAAAAAAATTTGAATCCCACCACTGAACTGCACTCACCAGAAGCCACAAAAAGAAAAAGGACAAATACGTATTTTGCATAATCTGTGTTATGGCTTTTCAAAAACAATGACCTGTTAAATGTATAATTTTGAAAATGGAAGCTATTTCATCATGTAAAAAAATGACTAATCAAAGGTTTAAGGGATGTTTAACTGGAAAAGTTACAAGGATATAGAAAAGAGAATGATTGATAAGTGAAGATATGTTGTTACTGGAAAATATATTGTAATTTTCTATTGCGTAATCAATTCTGTTTGTAAATCTTTGCTACTTACTACTACTATTCTCCTAAACATGCTTAATATCTTTTGGATGCTGATAATAAATATATAAATGGACATTAAAATTATCAGTTTTATCGGAAAGTAGAACTATTGTGTATTTTTTGGAAACTATAGGAAAGCAATAATTTCATCCCAAAATTTCACAGTACAATTACTTAAGTCCTGATATGTTAAATGATAGAGATGATATGAGACTATATTAACTATTTTAGGCATACTTCTAAAATAGGATAACTCAATTTTTCCTTCTTTGGAAACATTTCTAATAAAGACATCCATTTCTGACTTGGTTTGCATTGAATTTCTGTAGATTTTCTATTCATTTCACCTTTCACCCCATAACTGTGAAGGATTACACTGATATTTTATCACCTCTGTCATTTAAATATTTAGAGATTTAGCAAAAGTGAAATAAGAAAAATTAAATTTTCAATGCTTTTGCTAATTTTGACTTTTTAACATGAACAATACATCCAGGCTAACTCTAAGTTTTCTAAGGTTCTTATTTTCACTACAAAGTCACAGATAAAAATTGCTAATCCTGATTTGCTCCAATTAATAACTAAGTTTATATACTTTCTTCTTTCCAAGTTCTACAACTTAACCAGTGTGTCTTGAGGTGAATTTTCACATGTTACGGGAACATTCCTTTCCCCCTTTCCTCTACTAAAATGTTCGTGGTGATGAAACACAATAAAGATCAGAGTAGTAATATGGTTAGTATCCCTTGTTGTTTCTTTTTCTGTTTAGGAAGTGGAGTAAAGCATACTGAATGATAAACTACTTTATAATTAAAAAAGACAAGATCTAATTCTCTTGTCCTACTCTATTGCTTGTTATCTCAGAAGTCTCTAATTAATTTTTTTTGTCAGGAGTGGCATAATATAATCACAGTCTTGTCATATTCTTATTAATATTGTAATTAATCTAATTTGTAGAATTAGTTGAATTACTATTAGATGGTTACTGACATTTGTACCATACCCTATTCCTTAATTGTTTGCAAACAAATTGCATCACTTAAAAAAAATAAAAACTCTGCAAGGAATCTTTCATAATAGGCTTGTGTACATTTTGTAGCAGTTTGAATGGTACTGATTTTGCTCAGACATTTATTCCTTTGTCCTATCCAAGCCTATGTTTTGAAAATGCAACCCCAGGAAAAGTGAAACCTCAATTTGAAAAAGTTTATTTTTTCGTCTTCTTAGGTGCTCAATGTCCATGCATCTCCTGATGGCATCAATGGTATATCCAATTGCAAATCTTGGCATACAACTACTCGTAGCTGCACAGTGAGTCTCCCATCACCATAAAAACACCCTGGAAATAAGATAATTAACATCTGACACTAAAGGGAGCTTCTGAAAAGCTTTTGGTGGTGGTTCATAAATCAGGTTTTGAACAAAAGTGGATCACTAAGTGGCTAAGAGATATCTTAGCCACTGACAGTCACATTAAGAGCACATTCCAAAAGTATATAACCAGAATCATTTTTAATGATATGCTTTTCCTCCAAATACATATTTACATTTAGACACCTAGCTCTTCCATTCAGATTTTAGGTGCAATATATACCATAATCTCAATGTTCTTTATTCCTACCTTTAGGAATATTCCTGATTTACTTTGTAAAAGAATCCCTCCACTGACCCCAAAACCACCTATGAAGGAGACAAGTTAGGGTGTGATTCTTCAGGGGTCACATCAGACTTTCGGGTATTCTGAATATGGCTCAGAAGACACAGGTTGGCTCTTTGGCTTACAAGTTGATAATAAACTATTGGGCAGTTCCATTTATAACAGAAGACTCCAACATACCCTGAGTAAAGCTAAGACAGAGAAATGGACAACAGTTAAATGTGTTCAGTTTAAGGGTAAATAATATAGTAAATAATAATTATTATATAGTTACATACACACCTATTTAATATTTTCCCCTTCTCATACACTGAAAATTACAATTTAGAGCATTTGTATGTTGGAGCTCAGTCTCCCTGTGGCTGTGGGACATCAGGCTGTGACTTACTGATATAGTCTTCCAGTTCTCATGGCTCCTAATAGCTTCTCTAAAAAAGAAAAATCAACAAAGTTCTGGCTCATTAACTCTAATGACATGAATCTCATCATTTTGTGGTATGATATACCACAACCTGTATATAAACAGGTTGCTTCTACTTCAGTCTGAGAGAATATCCCACTATAGCAGTGATGACTAACCTTTTCCAGACCGAGTACCCAAAGGGTATGTGCGAGCGCGCACATGTGTGCCAATCCCCCAAAAATGCAATGTACATGCCCCATGCATGCGCCCCATCCCCCACACATGTGTGCATTGGCCCTCCACACACACACCGGCCCCCATGCATGCACGGTAAAGAACCGAAGACCAGCTGGCCGGCGGGAGGCACTTGCACATGCACGGCAGAGCTGAACTGGGGTGACGGCTTGCATGCCATCAGAGAGGGCGCTGCATGTCACCTTTAGCATGTGTGCCACAGGTTCGCAATCACGGCACTATAGCATTGAAATGTGTGTAAATTAAAGCTATTTAATTTATAGCTATTATATTAAAGCTATGATTTTTTTTTACAGCCTGATTTTGTAGTTATTTTAGTTTTTATTTCTATTCCAAATAAGCAATGTTTCTGAGATTCCCATTACTTCATGCAGACCATAGCAGAGCAAATATTCATTTCAGCAGTTTCCCAAGTTTTCATTATGTATTTACAGTTCTTGAGGCCAGTTAGATGACATTCCGTCTAAACTACTCCCAAGAGACTCTCATGTTCCCAGGCCACCCCTGGTATTTAGGGGACATTTTTTCACCCTCTGTTTCCAAGCGAGCAACACTTTTTATGGGATCTACATTTTATCTACATTTATCTACATTCTCACAACAGAATGTTTTTTTTCCCCTTGCCCTTATCTTCCAAGACATATTCAAAGGTTAATATAAGATTGACATGTCAGGAATCTATCTCAAGTATTTAGCAATAATCTGAACTACTTAGATCTGCCACTTTGTTAGCTGTTATCTGCTGCTCTGAGTAGTTTCTATTAGGACAAAATGCTCCTAGCAGTAATATTGCTTTTATCTGTAAAAGCCCCTGGAGATTAGCATTACGTAGCAAAGATTAAACATGGAGTTCTGAGATAATTTAAGAATATTTACAACTGTTTGAATATCAGGTGCTCAGGAGATGTTACATTAATTCACAATAGATAAAATGCAAAGAACCAGTATTTATTTATTATATTTTTATTCTCTCTTTATCAAAAGCCTCCAAAAAAATTATGGAATTCCTATCTAAGTACATTTACAAAAACTATGCAGTAAATGTGGTCAGGATTGTGATTGTGATCTCTCTCTTTCTCACTCTCTTATCTTTTTGACTTGATCTCATTTATTGCCCAGTTTTTGGACATACAACTCCTAGGAATTTTATTTTTAATGCCTTTAAGTCAGTGTTGACTCCTGGCAATTCCCTGTAGTTTTCTTTGCAATGTTTTCAGAAGTGGTTTGTCATTGTCTGTTCCTAAGGCTGAGAAAGAGAGTGACCTGCCCAAATCACTCAACTTGCTTTGTGCCTAAGACAGCACTTAATTTCCAGGAGACCGGACAGGTTGAAAGTTTTCCATCTGAATGGGATCTAGCCAGGGTCTCTTAAGACAGGGCTGAACCATACCCTTCTGAAAGGCCTGAGTCATCACCCCAAAAAATCATTTACCACTGCCAGAACCATCCACATGTCACCTCTCAGGAGGCCTTAACCTGCAAGAGGGTGGGGGGGGACATGGATCTAAAACACGGGTGACCAAGCTCACATTCTCTAGGATCATGCTCACTTCCTCAGGAGCTGTTTCCAAATAACTGGGAAAAGACTTATCCTGGGAATTTTCATTGGGCCAGTGTTCACACTGTTATCTTATTCTGAATAGATCTAAGTGATTTTATCTGCCTTAAAATCATCAAATTCCTCAGCACATCCCTGCAGATGAACCTCTGAGTCCTATTTCCCCATGAGAAATCTGGTCACCCAGAAAGATCCCCCAGGCAATTATTTACAGCTGCAGTTTGTGCAGAGAAGTATTACATCTCTGCACAAACTTTCATCACATGAATAAGCCTTTAACAGTAGCTCTTCCCTGTGTTGAGTTGAGCTTGTTCTTCATCTTCCTCCACTGGCTCTCTAGGCATCTCTGGATCCACTGCTTTTCTCTCATTTCCTCCATGAACCACAGGGATTGACAAGATTCTCAAGATGAGACAGGCTACTTGGGTGCAATCCTGTTCAGGACCTCAATCACTTCAGTCACCTTCTTATTCCAGGCAGATCCAACTAGTGTCTCTGCAGGACTGTACAGCAGATCCTCAGTTATAACCCATGTATCCTTCTGAAATGAATCAGAGTCCATTAGTCGTGGGGGGCAGACCAATCTTTTAGATCCCATTTTCCTGCAGAGGGGTACAGCCCTAGAGAAGCTCATAGTCACCAACTATGATCTGACCATGACACAGGGACCAAAAATAGGTCCCCATGTCCACCAATTCTAAACCTATCACTAATTTTAAACCAACCAACCAACCAACCAACCAACCAACCAACCAACCAACCAGCCAACCAAAACAGGCACTGAGTGATTTAGAGTAGCTAAGGAGAAACACAAATCAAGCACATAAATTAAAATACAGTAAGAACTAAAAGAATATATATATATATATGTATGTATGTATGTATGTATGTATGTATGTATGTGTATATATATATATATATATATATATATATATATATATATATACATATATATGTATGTATGTATGTATGTATGTATAAATCAAATTGTCTGGCAACCAATTAATTATTATAAAGTATAAGCTGTCAAAAATAATACAATATTCAATTTTTTTTCAGAAAGCGCCAGACAGAAGAGTAAATGGTGCCCCAACTGAAGCTGGGCAAAGTTCTCCTCTCTGACCACGGTGTCTTCCATCTTTCAACAAAATCAGCACTTCTATTCTAAGCAAAAGTGAGTATTTTAATTTTACAGTTGAGCAGTTTTTTTTAAATCAGAAGCAATATAACTGGGAGAAAATGGCATATTAAAAAAGTTGGTTATCTCCAAAATGAGAATATATGGATGAGTGGGCTTTTTTTGGCATTGAACACTTGGATGATAATGGCACACTTTGCATGGTAATCTTTTATGGTTATTTATCCACTGCTTTCATGTCATTGCAATGCTCTATAAACGAAGAATTATAAGGCTGAATGAGTTGCTTGTATTCTAATGAAAGAATATAGCAAAACAATGGCTAATTTCATATTTTTAAATAAATATAAATATATATATAAATTAAAATTTAACATACTGTCTTTAGCTGAAAAATAAGTATTATATATAGCTCTTTCTTAATGTTACTTCAATATTTCAAATAAAGAAAAAGAAGAATATAATGATATTTTAATTTTTTTAATCCCATAGATCAGGATGTTTGTTATTGTTTATTTTCTGCTGCTTCATTTTCACAAGCCATTAAAATGCATTGTTTCTGCAAAATAGTTGCTTCTTACAGAGATAAAGAGCCCAGAGGCATTCCTGAGAGTAAAGATAACGCTGGAGACAAGCACTTTGGTGCTTCCAATTATTAATCTTTTTAGAAAGAGTACTAAGGAGAATAGGAATCTTCTGAGCATGAAGAGCTGGG